TTTCATTGTAATATAACATTTTGTGCTGTAATTTCATGTATTTGTTGTCTGGACTAGATTGTTGTACACTGTCTGAGGGTTTGCTAAATTCCGTATTTATTGTTTTTGTCTGACCTGCCAGGTGCTACAGATGTAAATTTAGCCTGTTGGCTAACTCTGGCATATTTACATTGATATATGTTCATTAATATGCACTGTCTCTTTTTATTCAAAAGAAGATCCTGAGTCACATGTTTCAGTTTCCTTCCACAGGTGGGGAGCACAGTCTGCGCTTCCATTCTGGTGTTTGCATCTCCCTTCATTTGTGTGCATACACGTTCATGCAGCCATCTGATACAACCTCACACCTCAGCGTGCACTTGGCACAGGCAAGGGGCAGGCATCTTAAAATATGCTCAGTTTCACTCACACTCCCTCCTTCCTCTCCATTCACTGTCACGTGCAGCATAAACAAACACCATAAGAAAGGGGCAGCAGTGCATAAACTGAATTATAGCGAGGCACCTTTATGCCTTTGACCTCATGCAGCCATCCACAGATCACCAGAAGGGCACAGCTGACCTATGACATGCCTGAACTTTCTCCCTACATGTCTAAATCAGCAGAGACAACTGGTTGCACATCTCTTAAGCAAAGATCAGTGTAGACTAAGAATCATCAGAATCAGAATACTTTATTAGTAAAAGTGAAAGCAAGAAAATTGTGTCTATGAGTATTTAGGCCACAATGCTATATCCACCACAGCATCACTGTGCATCATATCTACTGTCTCTTATGACCGTATTAATCTCTTTAAACACTTAATGAGATTAAAGTAAGAAAAGACATGAACCTGTAAGCTGTATCGTGGCAATTGCTTACTGACAAAGATGAGAGCATAACAGAGGAAACCAAGTATTTCCAGCTGATGTGCTGCAAATAATCTAATCCAGTCCACTACCTCCAAAATGCCTATAGCCCTGCAAGATTAAACACAGTTTAAGATATCTGCGCCATGCTCCTCTCATCTGCTCAGATATCAGTTGTATTATTCCGATCATCAGTCCATTGGTGCGATCATTGTCCTGCACGGACACTGAGCACCGCGAGCCGCGCAATTAAGAAGGAATCAGTGCACTTACCACTTACAGCAAGGAGCGGCGAAGGCAAGGTGCGGGGAGTCGGAAGTTGTCAAATTAATGTTTGCTTCTGTCGTTTTTGTAAGTATGTCATCGTTTGGGTTTTATTTTCGCTGTGCTGGTGTGAGGACGGCGGTTCGCAGGACGGCTTGTCGGCTCTGTGATGCTGGTCACACGGCATGCAAGGCGCGGCGAGAAACGCGCTGCTGTGGCGAAAGGGATAGGAGGGTGGGAAGGAGGGAGAGGAGAGATGGATTACAAGCAGGCCCAGCCGCTTGGAGAAGACAGGCAAACAGCGACTACGCGTGGACATGTGTGGAGAAAGCGTGGAGGGAACTGTAAATGTTTACCTGTGCAAAAGCGTCCACCTGTCCTCACATTTATCATTGTGATTCACCTTTGCCATTCTTCGTTTCGGCCTCAGGAGGAAACTGTTTTCAGGCTGGAGAAAGTTACATTTTACGTTTTATTAACTGCTTTGCACCAGCTTTTAGCCCAGTGGTTTTCAAAAAAAACTATTTCTGGCATGACCCAGTTGTGAAATAAATTTTACAAAATTATAATTTTAGTTAAATAAAAAAGTAAACACAGCAACCTTTTATTAAATAATAATGCTAATGATAATAATGTAGCTGCATTTAAAAAATATGTTACAGGAACTGCCTTTTTAAAAACCTTAATTAGGCACTATAAACAGCTAGCAGTAGTTGATATGCAGTTAGCATATAAACTAGCTTACCAAGCTAGATAGCAAAGAAAACAGGAAGAATAGAAGAATTGAATAGCCAATTTATAACGTTAATCACATAAAGTAACAGCTGTATGTGTAAATAAGCAAACAGGGTTTTGGGGGGGGGTTAGCTAAAAAGGTTATGTTGATGTTCTTGTCATAGTACTTTTTTTTTATTCCCCCAAAGTGAAATATTAATCATAGCTGGTGTGTTAAATCCATAAATTTAGGGTTTTCATGTAGCAAATTCACAATGGGGATGAGACTCACTCCAACAAGTCACAGTCCATGGCTGTGAAATAGTTAACACACATTATAATGTGTTAATTGGCGATTTTTAGATGTGTTGTCATTTTTGCAGAGAGCGGCAATAACTTTGCCACTCTTGCTGTTTTGTTAAGCTAATGGTCTCCTGGCTGCACAGCCTCATACTTAATGGACAAAAAAGAGAGTAAAAGAAATCTTCTAATGTTAATTTCAGCAAAACAACTAAAGGGTGTATGTGGCAAAATGTCAAACTCGTTTACTCTAAAGCGTTGTAATGAGTTATATATATTTACATGTGTCCTAGCTCCTAAAGTTATTTAATCCAACAAGTGTGAAGAAAACAGTTGCTTTTCTTTTGCAGCCACTCATGGTGAACTTCAAGAATTGTTGAATTCTTTGGCAGTCGCTGCCCTTTGCAAGACTGAAATTATTCTCTGATCTAACTCAAACAGCTGCAAGCAATCGCAGGCTGGAGTACGTACAGTAGGCCTATGCAAGTTGAGACTCTTGGCTTGGACACAGCATTTAAATTTTTCCATTTCTGTAATGTATAAAACTCAACAAGTATACTGGATGTTTGCTAGAGATGACTCATAACACATCACATTGTTACTGTCTGAGTTACCCAGTCTGCACAGCACCAGTACACTAGATTAATGTGAAATGAAATTAAAAAAAAAAAAAGCAGACATGATCTTTACTGGAAAGTATTTTGAATTTATATGAGATCTAATGAAATTGAAATGGCTATGCTTCCGTTTCCACTTAGTGAGTATGCAGCAGTGTCTGCACAGTTAAAATTGATGTTTTGAATTTATTTTCTATCCAGCCTTTTTGGATCTCCAGTTCAATATTTGAGACTAGCCCAGTCTTAAATGCAGCATGTGCAGTATATTCTCTAAGCCAACGTTTCTTACTCTCAGTGTGTTAAGCGGAAGACACTAATCCTACTATGAAACCATAAACATCCTCAGCATGGAAACACAAGGCCAGACATGGACCTATAAAAATATATTTGCAGGTGAAATATGTGCCACCAAGGCCTCTTGCAAAAAGCCAGTCAGATAGGCATAAATCAGAGGCCTTGGATCAATGCCCTGTTTCCCATAGGCAAACTGCTGTGGCACAACACAATCAATTCTACCTCTGGATTCATAGCTCCAATTACTAAGCCTTGTTCTCTGCTACAACTATAAAAGGGGTGGTGTGTGTGTGTGTGTGTGTGTGTTGGAGGGGTCACCTGGAATCATACCCTATTTATAGTATAATATCGGAAGGCAAAAGGTTAAATGTTAAATACCTATATACTGTGTACATCTGGTCCGTGTTGCTGAAGTCAGGGCACAGTCAATTGGATTACAGTGCACGCTGTGTTGTTTAAACAGTGATTTCACAGGAGGGTTGGGAAGGGAGGACTGAAGGAGCATATGGACTCAAGTCTTGACGCTGTATTTCCATCATTTTAAATGTTCCCTCTTGGGGAATATTTAATGATCCATGGGAGGAAAGGAGGGTACGCATGTGTGTTAAGATTACGCACAACTGGTCAGACGAGCAATCCCACATCATCACTGAGGTGATGTATCTGAGAGTGACTAAATGATACCAATGAAACCCCGTGCGTTTCTGTGTGTGTATTCAGGTATCCACAGACTCATCCCCTCACTCATGCATACGCTACGTAAACACAAGCAATGCTATCGATTTGATGCCGTAGCAAACCTGCTTATTTGGTGTGGGGTGGGGTAACAAACACTCACAAGCGCCCTTATTTATCAGTTAGATTGCTTTAAAAGTCACAGGACAGCAATACAAACTCATTTCAGCGGCACGAGGGAGCAAGTGCCTTTTCATGAGAGCGTGTCTTTTTCAGTCGTTCATTAATCAGCTGAATTATTTATCATCTTCTAGCAGGGGGTGGGTGGGAGTTTACTGCTGAGGGACAGAGGAGCAGGAGAGAAAATGACTGTGTTGCACACTGTTGCTCGCAGTTAATGTTCAGTATTTATAAGAACACATAAAATTTGTATTAATTATATCTACAAGGCCTTTTTGACCTGGCTGTAAAACACGGACACACAAACGCAGGCAAACACGAAACCCAGCTTCACCTCCGACGGAAGCTACGCACTCCCCGTCAGCTGAAAATATGCTCGAGTCAGCAGAGGTAGAGCCCCCTCAGCAGAATGGTTTATTGCTGTCACATGGATCACTCTTGCTGTCCCACCATTTGCTCAGCACCTAATAAATACATTCTGAACAGCTTATTTATTCTCTGTCATTTGGAAGCTGCCTCACTTTGCTCTCTTTTAGCAGAAATCTGGTGTGAATAAATGTTTGTTTTTGGTTTCCAGGCCTTGATTTTGTTGTTTTATCACATTACATTGCAAGGGAAAAGTAGCCTGAAGTTAAAAAGTACTTCTAGGTTAAAACACAAGTACACTTAAATGCAGAAAAAAATAACAATAATAATAAAGAAAAAAAAAACCCTTATGGACAGCTTGTATTGTGACACCACCTTCTGACTGACACATGTAATTACAGCAAGAATTCCTATCCCATGAAACCTTAAATGAAATACATTTATTTACCTTTAGCCCAACACACAGATAATCTCAAATTTACTCCACATAAAGTTCAAGAAGCTGATTTGCTGAATTTTGCATGTTTGATCATTAAAATTAAAGTAAACCTTTAAAAGATTTTTTCCCCATCAACTTTTCTTGCTGTACCCTTAGGCACTTAAAAGGGAAAGAAATGAACAAATTAAAACCCATGCAACCTAAAATTGTTCAAAAATAGAACTTTTTATGACAAAAGATAGCTCGAAAGTACACAGCACACTTCCAAACTGAGTTTTCTCCACCTACACCGAGGAGAAGTGTGTGGATGTCAGCCACATCTTCAAAATTACTTGCACGGAAAAGGTTTAAACAAAATTATAGTTTTTAGTTTAATAATCTACCCATATTCTCCACAGTATCACACCACTAGCAGGTTAGAAGGGGGGGGCTTCAGTGGAATCTGTCCCAGAGTGAATTTCTTAGCCTTGAACTGACTCAGTTCCTCTTCAGTCAGTTTACTCTCAGGGGAAAACAGACTGTCCGACGCCCCTTCGGCAGACCCAGTTCCTGAAGTGGGCTGAGTGGCTGCTGCCCCAAATCCTCCACTTGTCTGCCCAAAAAGATTGCTGCTTCCTGTTGTCGCAGGGGCTCCAACCCCGAAACTGCTGCTTGCTCCAGTGGGGAAACTAAATCCAGAGGCAGATCCAAATCCTGACGCAGGTGCTGGTTTGTCCGTGGTGGTAGAGGCGAAGGAGAAACTTGAAGCTGAAGGTGTAGAGGAGGACGCAGTGCCGAACCCAGAGGAAGGCTGTGTGGGAGCTGCTAAGATGTCACCAAAACCTGTTGAAGATGACTGTGTGGCTGCAGAGCCAAATCCACTATTTGAAGCAGAAAAGCTGAAACCGCTGGCCTGGGCTGGTGCACCAAAATCTGCAGGAACAGAAGGACTTAGAGTTATCATGGAGTGATGGATAATTTTATAAAATACCTTTTATTATGAAATTCTGAAAACCTATACTTTGATTAATTTAGTGCTAAAATACTAAACTACATGCAGTCTCTGTAAAATCTGCTCAAGCATCATAACTCATTAGAAATGGGAAGTACCTTCAAAAAAGAAAGACAGTTTATGATTCAATGAAGAAATCGTTAATCTTTACCTTTGCTTCCAAAGCTGGAGATTGAGGATCCAAATCCAGTTGCTGTTGTCGAACCAAACTCACCTGAAGATCCCTGAGGTGTGGCACCATTTAATTCTGCAAGCTGCAATGAAAACAAATGAAGTAAAAAAAACCAAAAAACAAAACAAAACACTGAATTAAAAGCCCCAAAACAGACAGGAGCAATGCTAGTGTCAAATCAGAACGTCAGCATTAAATCTAAACCAGGTGTTCGATACGTTCAAAGAGTAGAAGGAAACTTTATTAAACGAAAATGTATTCTGACATTTCCATTGCTGCACACTGCTGACATGCAAACCTAATGGCAAAAATCTAAACACATCTTCTCAGTGCTGTTTGGTTTTCACGTCTCATTAGGGACCAGTTATGGACTCTGGAATTGTAACAAATGATCTAAAGTTGGGAAGCGATGTTTGTGAGGATCTGTGTGTCTTACCAGTGCCGCACGAGTGGCTGGATTCATAATCTTCAATTCCTGG